ATTTTTTTTTCTGTCTCGAAAGATTTCCCCCCATTTTGAGAGCTTATTTATGAAAACAGACATGGTCCTCATCATCGACTGCACACACTGGTCCAGTGCACGTCACCACTTTTGCTGCCTAGCAGGGAATATTTGGTCACTAAATCACAATTTAAATGGTGGAGATTTAAAGGAAATTRAACAGAAACTAAGAGCAAAAACAGCCACTACAAAACTAAATAATAATAATGATAATAACATTAATAGATAATTTGTAGGCTACTTTCTTTGACAATGCAGTGTAAATGCGTATTATTCAAAGATTTTTGCCAAAAGTTGCTTAAGTCAAGTAAAAGTAGCAAAAATTAGCAAAAAGAAGCTAAAAGTAGCTGAAACAATTGGAGAGAAACTAAATTAGCTGAAAATGAAGAAAAGAAGTAYAAAAAAGTTGCAATTTGTTGTAAAATAGCTAAAACGTCTGAAATTAACTGAAAAAAAGCAAAAATCTTAGATGAAAACAGAAACCAGGGTAAAAAAAAAAAGGCAGAAAAAGCATGTTTGCCGAATTAAGCAATAAGGAGCTGAAATTATCCAGAAAAGTGAATTTAGCTTAAATAAAGCTAAAATGAGCTTCAATCAGCCACAAAGTAGCTAAATATGTAGAATATAGCTGGAATTAGTGTAAACCATCTGAAAGAAGCACAAAGGAATAAATTAGCTGAAAGGTAATAACTGTTAAAATTAGCAGAATAGCTGAAAGAAGAGTGACAGCTGAAAAAGGCTAAAATTCGCAAAACATAAAAAAGAAGAAGCTTAAGAATAAAATTAGAACAAAAAAACTAAAAAAGCAGAACCAGAACAAAAGGTTAAAAAGTAAAGATTTTTAACCATTTTGAAGGATGTTGAAGTTATTTTCGATGAGGAAATAAAATGACAGAAAAAGCTTAATATCTCAAATACAAATTAGTGAAATAGCGATAGCCAGAATGTCCTGAAGGAGCTGAACATTTTAAATGATGAAAAACACAAACATTGCAGAACTAATTACATGACAAAAACCATAATAAAAATGGATCATCTCAGAAGTACAAAATATTTAAGTATTTTTTTATGTTTAAGGCTGAATCTGTACAACCACGATTATTGAACCAAGTGTATTCAACATTTGATTGTATTTCTGCGTAATGTGTCACAAAAATGTAATTTTTGACCTATTTGGTCCCCTCATACAGACCTGCAGCACAAACCAAAGACCAACTTTTTTCAGGTTTTATCTAATTAAAAAAGAAAAAGTCCTCAGAACGGCTTAGATGAATCCCTCAGCTTATGAAAAGCTGCTTTCTTGTGTTTTTTTTATCTTCACAAACAGCTGTAGCTCTGTGTGCAGGTGTTTGAGTCCAGCAGCAGTGTGAGTCCTGAAGGAGAAAACCTGATAAAAGTTTCTGTCATATTACACATTCCTGTGCTGCTGAGGGACAGTCTCTCTTTGTTAGAGACCAGGAGCTGTATGCTTTGCTGTTTTTTTATTTTTTAAATTTTTTTTAGCAAAGGTATTTCAATGCACTGACACTCTTAATTACAATAACTTATATGTACATTTGTATCAGACTGAGAGGAATGAGTTCAATCACACACTGGAAGAAATGAGAGGAGACTGGATCTAGTAAAACTTGTTGGGTGGGCGCCCTCTTGTGGTAATAAGTTAAAGGTACACGTTGCAGTTTAATAAAGATCAGTAAAACACACATTTTTCCTCTTGTAATTAAATAAACAAAATTAAGCAAAGTTGCAAACACCAACTGCATTTGTAGAAACATACAAAGTGACTGAAACTAGTCCACTACTGATTTGTTTTTATGGTAAAATTTGTTGAGTAATGTATGCAGATAAAAGTATTTTGTTTACATTGAGTGTGTACCCACATTTCAGACTAGCATTGAAATGGGAAACCGCATTAACTATGAAACTGCAGGGTAACCTTTTCTGTTTGATTTTATAGTTTTCAATAAAAAACATTTCTAGAATCAAACACACAAATTCACACTGTGAAACAGGACATTTGGATTAACTATCATATTTATTCTTCTCTTAACACAAATTCAAATTGAATAAAGTAATAAAATCAAGATTTTCCACATATTTATATAACGAGCAACACAATATATCATAGTAATCTTGTCAAAACACAGCATAATAAAAGCACATTTGGTCAAAGTAACTTTCTGATAACATAATTCTGCAATTAATTCCGTATAATATCACATAAACCAATGATTATGGTCAATACAATGAAACAAACGTCCTCCATAGGTATTCACTGAAATAGCTTTAAAACAAACATGACACGGCACAGTGTTGATGATCAGGAGTGAAAATGTACAGTACGTGCTCAGAGGAAGGCAGCTGTGTCACTTAACACTTAGCAGGTAAAACTTGAAACATGGTGAAAGAATGGAGGTTTCTCCAGAGCAGCTATTTGTTTTTTTAAATTTAAGCGACATTCGTCTGTTGCAGTCACCTCACCAAACATTACTACAGTGAAATGTAACATGGTCACTAACAGTTGGTGTACTTGTGCAGCTCTTCTCGGATCAGGTCCCGCAGCAGAGTGGCGTTTCGCTGCAGGTCGTCCAGCTCGTCGTGCTGTTTCTGCATACGGTCCTCATTGATGCGGAACTTCTGCTCCAGATCTGACAAAAAAGAAATATATATATATTAAATTGTAMGTTTTATAGTTCATACTGTCAAATTTGGCCGACAATTTCCAACTGCACAAAATGTTCGACACACTGAGYTTTGATTGTCTTCTGGGTGGTTTTAGCTGGAATTAGTTTTTCTCACAAAGAGTCCAGCAACTCATTTATGTTACACATTATCTACAACACTTTTAAAGCTGGAATCCATCCATCCATCTATCCATCCATCCATCCATTTTCTTCCTCTTATCCCCAGCTCCTTTGGGGGAATCCCAATGCGTTCCCAGGCCAGCTGAGAGACATAGTCCCTCCAGCGTGTCCTGGGTCTTCCTCTGGGCCTCCTCCCAGTGGGACGTGCCCGGAACACCTCACCAGGGAGGCGTCCAGGAGGCATCCTAACCAGATGAACCACCTCAACTGGCTCCTCTCGACGTGGAGGAGCAGCAGCTCTGATGACTGAGCTTCTCACTCTATCTCTAAGGGAGAGCCCAGACGCCCTGCAGGGGAAACTCATTTCAGCCGCTTGCATCCGCGATCTCGTTCTTTCAGTCACTACCTAAAGCTTGTGACCATAGATGAGGGTAGGAACGTAGATCGACTGGTAAATCAAGAGTTGAGCCAGAAGGCGAAGCTCTCGCTTCACCACTACAGACCGGTACAACGCCCGCATCACTGCAGACGCAGCACCAATCCACCTGTTGATCTCCCGCTCCATTCTTCTCTCATTCGTGAACAAGACTCAAAGAAACTTGAACTTAAACAAAATTACATTTGAGAAGGGTTTGTCACCGTCTGACGATCGGTAACGTCATCTCAAAAAGAAAAACTTCCGGGAGGGCTTTGATTTTTTTTGTTAGCATGTAGCATTTCACTGGACCGCTTGATGACGGATTAGTTTTCAGTCTTTCATCACCTCTGTTATCTTTAACGGCTCCACCAGAGAGCACACTGGCAACGTTAAATACGTCACAGTTCAAATAAACAGTCCAATAAACTATTTTATATTATATAATATTATATATGTAAACTATGRCTTTGTAAATTTATATTTTATTAATATCAGAATGTATATTTTGTTATATTAAAACCTTTTACAGGATATAATTAAGCACACTGTCATAATTATGYATGAAAAWAATTATTTCCAGTACTTTTTCCTAAATTGAGCGTGTTAATCAGTGAATTCAAAAGTATTTCTTTTAGCTGATGGTAAGAAATCGGGCAGTGACAGGGTTATTAAAAATCTGCCCAGTTGTTCATGAGATAACACTACAAAAAAACAAACAAACAAACAAACAAAGTCATTATTGTCTCATTGTTTCAGCTTTTAAAAACTAAAACAAATGGTTTTAGTTTTTGTGTTCTCCAGAGAGCAGGCCGTTTGACTCACTGTCCAGTTGCTTCATCCCGTCCGTGGCTTTGTTCAGGAGATCCTCCGCGTCCTTCTTCATACTCATGGCCTTCTGGTGGATGTTGCCCAGCGCTCCAGACTCCGGACCCAGAGACGCAACTTTTATCTTCAGCTCATTGAACCGTTTCTCCGTGTTGTTGAAGCTCTGAGAGACAACAGTCAGAATTTATTACAACCTTTAAACAGAGTTGGCGACCATCTCGAATGAAATTGAACCCAAAGGTTAGGTAGCTGTAAATATCCATGCAATTATTATTTTCTGAGGTTTTCATTCAAACAAATGTGATAAAACAAACAAACAGAAAACAAGCTTTCTGCTTGCTGACGTGTCGTTGCTCACCTTTTCCAGCGAGGAAGCTTGCTGAGTGGCGTTGTTAGCTTGAGCTAAGGCRTCCTTCGCCATCTGTCTGTTCATCTCCGTCTTGTCCCGAAGAGCCTCCACCCCCACCGACAGGTTGTTCAAACGCATCATGATGTCCATCTGCTTGTCTTCGAGCTGCTGCAGTCTCCATTCCACCTGCGTGAAAGTACAGGCAGAACTTATGGAGACGTGTGCGGAGAGACGAAGACAGAACCAGTGTTGAAGTGTACCTCCGCGGTGGCGTTCTGTGAGATGTTCAGGTTGTCGCGGGCCTCCTTCAGGGCGGTCCTTGCCTTCTCGATGGCCTCCTCAGACACGTTCAGGGCCTGCCTGGTGTTGTTGATGAGATCGTTCACCGACACAGCTCGGTTCCTGCACAAAACCAGATGGAAATGGTTAATAATTTATTTATTTATTAAAGATTAGATYCTTGAACCTTAACCAACAATCAATGAAGGAATAAAGGCATACCCCCGCTGCCTTTAATGTCAGAGTTTAGAAGAAGTTGTAGCCACTTGACAGTTATGTTTTGCTCAATGTCATGTTAGATGTCACACTAACGTAAGAGCTGTAAAAAAAACTTCAAATCTGAGCTCAAACTCTGCTAAACCGACTGAGTTACAGCAAGTTTTGTCTTGGCTACATGGGCAAAGCTAGACTTTTTTGCGAGTGAGGCCACATTTTTTTAGGGGGTCACATAGAGACAAACTACTCTTGATTTGAAAATTCAAGATGGCCACCACAGTTAACTTTACTTATGAAATTCATAATTTTAATGTGAAATTTGTTGTGGCATAGCTAAAAATGATCTCAAACACATGCCGATTTCTAATCCCAACTAAGCTAACCGCTAATGCTATTGGTAATTTTACAATGGGCTATAATTTTGCCATTTAAAAACAAACACAGCTAAAAGATATTGTTGTAGTAGCCAAGAAACAATCTTTACCAAATTCTAAACAGTAATCAAAAATTCAAGATGGCCTCCACAGTTAACTTTAATTGACTATATGTCCTGATGCATCTCAGTAATCCAGGTAAAAAATCAAAAAGAAAAAATTGTGTAGGTCTTCTGGACGGGTTCTCCGAGAAGAACCCGTCCAGAAGACCTACACAATTTTTTCTTTATAATTGACTATACTTTAGCCATGTTGTGGCATAGCTGCGTAAGACTGATCCTGAACACATACTGATTGCTAATCTCAATTAAGCTAACTGTTAATGCTATTGATAATTTTACACAGGGGTATAATTTTGCCATTTTTAAAATATACACAGTTAAAAATTAGAGTAATAGTGGCCAAGAAACAATTTAACAAAAAAAAATTCTTCAAATACAAAATCCAAGATGGCCACCAAAGCTCATTTCAAATGGCTGAGCTGAAATTTTGTGTGGTGGTAGCTGTGATCATCAACATAAATTACAGWCAAGTCATAAGTTTAAATTTGTGGACACATGGCAGCACTCGTTCTCAAGAAACTTTTCTAGTTGCCCCATGTAATTTGCTATCCTACAGACCGGCCACTAGATGTTGTCCAGATAACACAGCTGCTGCACAGATATTTACTTCTCTTATGCTGCCAAACTTTGATATGCCACATGTGAGCACCACCACACTTGTCATTTGCAGGGTAGCAGCTGGGGTGGCCAATCAGGTGTCAGGGGCACTTGCCACCCGGGCCACCCCTCTGGCTCCGCCTTGGCTAATGTTGATTTGGCTAATGTCGATTAGCTGTAGCGGCCATCTTGAAATGGATTGACTCTAAAATTAATCAGTTATAGATTTACAGTAGATCCAATAATTAACTTTTGAAAGTTTCAATAAAATCTGTTCAGTTGTTAATGAAATATTTTTGCTAACAAGCAGAATTTTTTTTTAGATCTGGTTCAGTTGATTAGTGCTCAGAATTTGCTTTGAAGATCACCTTCAGCTACAACCACACCAAATCTGAGCTCAAGTGACAAATCCACTGAGTTGTATTCATTGTGTTAGTTGACGTTAATTAGCCGTGACTCWGTTACCTTCATTTATGAACTCCAGTAATTAATCAGTTGTAGATGTACATTTAATCAACACTTACCRAAGTTTCATTCAAATTTATCCAGTGGTGCATGAGATATTTTGCTAACAGGTGAGTTATAGAAAGCCCCTTAAAGCCTGTTAATAGTGTTAAACTGATTATGGCCACTAGGTGTCAGCAGACAAACTTTTCCCATAATGATTATTTTAGTAAAACCAAGAATTAATCCACTGAAAAATGGTACGAAGTCATTCATACCTTTTTTTAAAAAAATGAATGGCAAAATGATCTTTGAAAACAGAATAATGGTTATAAATCTGTCATATATATAGAACTAAAATTTACAATATTGTTTTAGACTGAGCACATCTACAAGGTGTACGCCTGGACTCCCAAGTTACTTGTTTATTCGTTTACACATTAAATCTAATTAAACTAACAGCCTGTAGGAACTAAATTTATTTATTCTGGAAGCAGCGTCTTCTTCTTTTGGGCTCAAAGAAATATTAAATAAGCATGAATAAAAGCTAAGAGCTAATTTGTGTGACTCTTYTGCTTTAGAGACAAACTGACAGCAATCTGAAATTCATCTAAAACTAGAATTCCCTTTATAAAAACATTGTTCTTACTTGGCCTCTTTAGCTTTTTCCAGCAGCTCCTGGGTGTTTTTGATGAGCTGAGAGGTCTGATTGACGACCCCCTCCACGTTGGTGAGGTTGGAGATACTGTCCTTTATCTCCATGATCATTTTGTCCATGGTGGTCCTGTTGAAGGGCAGTTTGATTTCCATGACTTGCATCGCTACCTTCTGGATGCTGTCAGGATCTGCTCCCTCCTCTGAAGGACACAATAAGCCGACAATCGTGTTACATGAAGCTTAAGAGTGGAATTCGACTTGAACAACAACAACAACAACAACAACAAACCAGTGAGGAAGTCTTTGATGGTTTTTATGAAATCTTTCAAATTCTTGTTGTTCTTCTCGAAGTACTCCTTCTTCTTCTGGGCTTTCTCCAGCGCAGTCATCGCCTGGTTCTTCACATCCCTGGTCAGAGCAGCAATGTCCTGGAGCTGGAYACAAGACAACAAGCTGTGTGACGGACAAACAAATATCACCAGCCTCACTACCAGTCACACACGCTGTCAGCACCTTCCTGGAGATGCCCTGCAGCTCCTTGTTGGCGGCTTTCAGACCGTCTGAGACGTTCYGGGCCACGTTCAGAGCTGAAAGAGACGCGCTGGTCGTCCCGTTGCACCCCTCTCCGCCGCATACAGGGTTACYCCGATTGTCACGGCACCCTGCGCCRCCGCACTGACTCTCAGGGCAGCTGCCATTGCTGCTGCCATTCCCGTGACCACCGCATACCTTAAGAGACAGAATGTAGTTGCACCAAAGTTTTCAGATGTTTTACATCTCAAAGGAATAAGTCAATATCTCTAACGATCAATCTGGAGTATTCCTTTTCTACCCTTTTTTTAGTTAAACAAAATAAAATCTATATACAGTAAAAGGTAACGCTTTCTTTTCCGGTACTCTTATTACCATGTAAATACAAGGTAATAAAAAAATGTAATTAAATTTAATTACTACCTTATTACCATGTAATTACATGGTAATTAGGGTACAAAAGAAAAACTACTGTAGTAAAACTACTTTTATTGGGTAACTACAATCAAATTACTATTCAATAGTAACTCAACACTATATCACCAAAAGAATGCAACTAAATTTTGGGGTTAGTGGTTAATTGCAATAAAATGTAACTTTAAAACTGTCCAAATTACCTACTACTTWTTTAGGTGTTACATAGTGAATTGTAATACATTACCAGGTAAACGCTACATTACTGCAGACAATTAATTACATAGTAAAACTGTACCCTAATTACCACGTCATTACATGTAATAAGGTAGTAATTACCATTTATTTACAGTTTTTATTACCTTGTAATTACATGGTAATAAGCGTACCATAAAAGAAAGTGTTACCCAATAAAAACAAAACAATTCATAAATGAAATGAAAGGAAGTAGATAGAAGAAAAAAATCTTATTATATCTGCCCTTTTTAATTTCTTTTTCTTTAAAGTTCCTGTGAYGTGCATTTCACGCAAAAACAAAAAGTATTTGAGTGAAAAAGAAAGAAAAGAAAATATCTTTATGTTTAAGAAACTTGGCATAATATGTATGATTGTGCTTATTTTGCCACATAACTGGCATTTTATTTTGAATTTGATTCAGCCAAAGTGAAACAGGAAGTGACATCAAAGGGGAACTCTTTAAGAAATAAACTCTCAGGTTTTTGTTTATTGAAACAATCACATTTAAACTCTGACTCTTTTTAAAATCTCTGCTAGTAATTTAAAATAATCTCTAAAGAAACACCAGATTATTCTCTACAGTCTGGGTTGTTATCTGTTGTAGCAACGCTCTGTTCACTATCCGACATTCCCCTTTGACATCACTTCCTGTTTCTTCACATGCAAATATCTCAAGAACTGTTCATCTCAGTGGCGTGAATTTGTTTTTGCAWTATGTTTTCAATCTTATCTTTCAAAAAATGTGTTCACATTTATTATAAAGATATGATGTCAYGGGCACTTTAAATCCAGATAATACTAATTATTGCGCTCACACAGTGCAATCAGAGAGCCAATAAAAAAGTAACTTTATCTGATCATAAGTGCAGCTGGACTTCTTTTTTTATTTAGTTGTTTATTTATTTAATTAAAAAACAAAAATTCTATACACAATAGAGGAAAAAAATTCAAATCACAAATAAAATAAAAGGCAGCAAAGAGAAGAAAGATATCTTGTATTCACTCCTTTTTCCCAAGAATAAATTCAAACAATAGTAATTTACAAAACAACATTGTTTATTTGTGAAGAAGTTTAATTATTTTGAGTCATATTATTCCCATACAACACAGATTTTGTCATATAGTGTGATGATAGCTCATTAGGCTAAGCCTTAATGCACTTTTTCTAATTTGAGTGCAGCAGTAGAGTACCTCCTCACAGCCTCAGGTTGGATCCCACAGCTCAGATGAGTTAGTGACTCAACATTACAAGAACAGGTCCAATTTTCTCACTGAACTCTGTGTATTAGTGACCAATCAGACAGGAAGACATGTGGCTGCTTTATGCTGCGAATTCTTAGAAAAATCACATCTTTTTTTTTTTTTTTTTTGGTGTGCCCAGCCACCCCATGTTCATGATTGAATTTGCTGGAGTACACTTTTAAAACGAAGTTGGGAAGTTCCTTAAAACTATTTTTTAAATAACATGTTTCATTAATGTGGCTTTTAAACCTGGACAAGTTTTAATGCTGCAGGTGTTAAAAGCACAGCTGTTGTGTTTCTGAGAGGTGTTGAACAAAGAAATCTGAGAGAAAATCAAGAGCCGTTTGTTCTTTCATTACTTTTTGATCACCTCAATAATATAAGAAAAAAAATGACTGAAGTTTCAATAAACACTTTCTGCGTCACTCACCTTGTGGCTGAGACGTTGAACTTTCTCATCAAGGTCTTGATTTTTCTCCTGCAGCTCGTTTAATGAACGGTTCTGAGCAGCCAGATCCTGGAGGAACTTGTCTTTGTGTTCGTCCAGCAGCTGCTCGGTGCGTGTTCGGGTCATGTTCGACTGTTCCAAAAGGCTGTCGGGAAACGGCACCATGGAGTCCTGGTAGTATTTCTTAATTTTCTCATACTGATCTGTGAGAAAACACAACTGCTGAAACATCTGAACTGTCTTACACAATGCAGTAGATTTTAATCTTGCAGGTCGGGGTCGTTACCTTCAAACCCTGATGTGAGATATTCCTCCAGCACCTGCTGTTTGTGAGCCACTGTGGCATTAATGTCCCTCAGCTCGTTCTCTAAATCAATCAGGGTGAGTTGTAACTCCTCGTCCCGTCCTGCTGTCACGTTTACCTCTTGGCCAATGTCTGTTAGACGTCCGTTAATGATGAGAATCTCGGTACTGAAACACAAAMGTTTTGACCGCACTATTGTGAGACGTGTAAAATCATCTTGTCTGTACATAAGCAGCCATTTAAAGATCATCAGAAAGTCTACGCCTTTTCATTGGTCCAAATATTATTCCAACATGATCAACAGCTGCCCTGCAAACTCTAAACAGCTCTTCCACAACAAAATCATCTCCTTAATCCCATTAAACAAATWCATGCTGGAGACTTTTCTAAAATGCAACACGCTCTTTTMATTTTTTAAAAGCAAAATAAACTCTATTAGATCTCAGCTCTATAGCCTCTCTGATCTTCTGACCTGCTTATAAGGCTGAGTTCACCTTAAACTCCTCAGACTGGAGGAGACACGGAACGTTACGTTAAAGAAGAACCCGTCCAGAGGACATACTTAATTACTTCTTTTTGATATTTCTACCTGGCTCCCTGTCAAATTCAGAATAGAATTTAAAACATTACTCCTAACATACAACGCTCCTAACAACCAAGCTCCATCATATATTAAACATCTTATTGTTCCAGACTTTCCTAACAGAGCACTTCACTCTCAGACTGCAGGTTTACTTGTGGTTCCTGGAGTTTCTAAAAGTAGAATGGGAGGCAGAGCTTTCAGTTATCAAGCTCCTCTCTTGTGGAACTGACTTCCAGTTTCTGTCCGTGATGCTGACACTCTGTCTACTTTTAAGATTAGACTGAAGACTTTCCTTTTTGATAAATCCTACAGTCAGACTTAGGTTTCCTGAATTATTCTTCATTTCTGCTGCTATAGACTTAGACTGCTGGAGCACAAACTGAGCACATTTCCTCACTCTGCTGTCGTCTTTAGTCTCTCTTCTCTACATGTTTATTGTAATTATTTCTATCAATAATGTTTTTTCTTTTTGTCTCTTCCAGAAGTAGGTGCACCTGGACCAGTTCTTCTGTGTTTGTCTGTGTCTCTTTCCTGTCCCTCAACCAGCCGGTCGAGGCAGATGGTCTCCTGTCCTGAGCCTGGTTCTGCTGGAGGTTTCTTCCTGATTAGCAGGGAGTTTTTCCTCTCCACCGTTTGCTCAGGATGGGAGACTGTGATGAAGTGATTCAACACAATCTGCTGSTTTCTTCTTTMCATTGATCTTTTTTTTCATGTTTTTTCAACCCTGAGCCAACGCATGTTGTGACTTGGCGCTACATAAATAAACTGAATTGGGTTCCTGAGATGCATCAGGACTCTCTGATCTTCATTTGTCTTCTACCAGTCTGCCTTCTGGGTCCCTAGCTATTTGATGAGAKTGCTCAGGGTGAAGTGGAGATCGTCTTCAAAGAAGATGAAGCCATCAACCTGCGCCCTGGATCAAAGAAAAAAACCTAATTTCTCTGCAATAAGCCCACTAATCACACAAATATTGAGTCTACAATCTGATCATGTTCCATTGCTTCTTAAACCTGCCAGCATTAGGCCTCTTCTGAAAAACATCCACTTTGGATCCAGATATTCTCTCTAGTTACCGTCCTATTTCCCACCTCCCCTTTCTGTCAAAASTGCTGAAAAAGGCGGTTGTTGCTCAGCTGCAGGTCCACCTACACTAGGGATGGCGTGATTTTTGATTCAATCGTCCATCGGCAATTGAAGGGTTGGCACGCGATTTTCTTTTTTAAAGGGCGATCTTTATTAATTAATTAGATGCCGTGCCAGGGATGTAAAATAAATTTTAAATGTGCCCTTCTCTGTAAATTAAAATGTTTTAATCATCATCATTGTGATCTGTGCAAATGAGGGAATAAAATAATTAATATACAGTGCTGCGTCTCTGTTTTTTTTTTTCTCTCGGAGTCAGAGCCAACGTGCGCAGCTCCTGTTTCTCTTCTCGTCATCTTCTTGCTTTGGTGCGCCACAAGTGACCCAAATAGTGCTATATTATAACGTTTAGTTACAAAACGAATAATCCATGACAATCATACATTTGAACAAATAACTTTAACCAGTTCTGAACTGGACTGGAGCGCACTGCTTCACCCCTGCTCATCCCCGTCACTCTGGGCTCTGGTGTGTGTGTGTGTGTGTGTGTGTTTGAAGGGTTGAACTTTTCACCTCCACTCCACATCAGAACACATACTTGGTCTGAAGTTTGTGGGAGTGTTTGTTTGTGCTAAAAGTGCTCAGACGCTGCGTTTGCTTCAACCACTCGCTTAAAAAAAAGAAAGAAAAAAGGCGACYCGTTMCAGAGCGGACTACCAGGAAGCAGCGATTTATAAAGATAGTCAAACCGAGTCTAACGGCCAAAACCTCATAATAAGGGGATAAAACTGAAACTAAAATTTGACTGATAAAAACTTTTGAGCTTAATCCTGGACCGGTTTGTGGATAAACAACGTCAGACATTTTTTCCGCATTGGACTCCACCGGTAGAGAAATCCCATGCAGTGACATACGTTAAAGC